CTGTTTCACCAAACCATGCACCGCTCGACCTGCCGCGTCGGCCTACGTTTCGAAACTAGCCCGAACCACGATGCCAGCCTAGCACTAGCTTGCTCGTCGGACCGCGTTACCATTTGCATGTTTGGCATTTAAGTATCCGCTCATGCCTTCGCTCTTACTAGGTACTTGTTTGACACCTAGTGCAATCATCTCTATCACGATCCATTGCACCCGTAATAGATAATTATGGATTGTTAGATAATATTTTATCCCATCAAAAGGTTGTGTCCTCCTGGTACATCTCTTCGATGTGACAATTATACGCAATATATTTTTCCATTAGAACGGAGAAAACAGGGGTGCACGTTCAATCAAGCTCGTATTGAATTAAAAATATATAAACTTTCTTCATCACGCATTTTAATCGAGCTGACAAAATAGGAAATCGTGCTGACGTGCTCGAACAGGTACATTATCGCAGTCTGAACTGAATGTACAACTCAGTTGTCACTGTCATCGGGCAAGCAAAGCACCATCTGCCTGCCCTAGTTTTCTTCCACCTAAAACCTTACGACGACCATCAATCGTTGCCTTCGAGGCTGTAGCAGGTTCGAAAATCACCACGTGAAGAGCATTTTCGAATCACCCTTTCGGAAATTCCTTTGCTCTCCGCGTGGTAAAGTCCGAACCTGTTACAAAGGCCGAGAACAGGGAACCGGTGCATCGCTCTCATTCTCAAAGCGACTCGCGACCGAAACCGGAATCGGCTAGCTTCAGCGATTATGACAGGCCCAGATTTTCAACGTGTCGTCATCTCTATGCGCTTGTCGGGTCGGCACCTCTCGGCTGTAAAGAAAGAGGAATGAAATGACTAGGAAACATATGGGTACAAGTAGGAAACCTAGAAGTGTTGTACCCCATAGTATCTACCCCATTACAACCTAGATAGACTATAGCATATAAGTTTGACACACCCCCATAGGCAAAGTGGGGGAGAACAAGAGGTCACAAGACCAGTCAAGCAAAGCACAACAAGCTCAGGGTGGATCACACGTCACCACACATTCCGAGCACAAGTTCAAGGCCACAAGGCCAGTTCACATGCAGGATTACATAGAAAGGTAAACAAGCAAGTGCAGGTATAGATAGATCATAGTACAAGCAAGGTCAAGAAGTGAGCAAGTGAGGCCAAGTAGGCACAAGACCTAGCATCGTACAAAAGCGCTGAGGATCACAAGGCTGAAGTGCCTTGGTAAAGATATCAGCGGTGTTGGCCCGAGAGGCCACGTAAGAAAGGCACAGCTGACCACGCTGCTGCATCTCACGAGCAAGGAAGTAGCGAAGAGCAATGTGCTTCGTTCTGTGCTCCAGTCTGTGCTCCCGACACAAGGCCAGCATGGCCTTGTTGTCTACGTACAGAAATGGAGGAGAATGAGGCGGCTCTCCCAGGTCAGACAGCAGGTAGGTGAGCCAGCGTAACTTCTGTGAAGCCATGGCCCCTGCGTAGATCTCAACCTCACAGGTGGAGCTGAGAACAGAAGACGAGCGGGTAGACCGCCACGAAACAGAGCCGGAACCAAGGCTGAAGGTGTAACCCTGTGACGACCGCTGCGTAGCCAAGTCGTCAACCCAAGACGCGTCTGCGTGACCAGTGAGGACAACTCGAGCCTGTCCTCCAAGACGTACTGCACAAGTAGCCCAACACCCTCTTAGTTGGATCCATGTGCTCTGGTCGGTGTCTCCCAAGAGCAACATAGCGTGCCAGGATGCTAAGAGGGTATGCCAGGTCAGGTCGTGTGCAGGTCATCAGGTACATGAGGCAGCCCACAAGCTCTGGGTACGGGCCACTCGGCTCTATGGACTCATCCGAAGGCAGAGCTGAGAGCGAGTGGCAAGTAGATAGAGGAGTGGCCTGAGGCGAGGAGTACGTGAAGTTGAAGCGCTGAAGGACCTGCTGCACTATGTGTGACTGAGTCAAGGTAATGGTGCGCCGTGCTCTGTCCCGGGTGATCAGCAAGCAAAGATAGCAACGCAGCTCACCCAGGTCTGTGCACGTGTGTCTCTTCTGCAGCTCCGAGTTCACGTGGGCGAGTCCAGCAGTAGCAAAGACCGAGTCATCGACGTACACGAGGATGTAGAACAGCGGCAGTGAGGTGTCGGTGCGTAGAAACAGCGACGGGTCAGCAGTAGAAGAAGCAAACCCAAGAGCCGCAAGCGTAGTCCTCAGTGTGTCGAGCCACTCGCGGGGAGCCTACCGGAGACCGTAGACTGGCCGCCGGAGGCTCCACTGGGTACCAGGAGGAAACGACCCAGTGAAGCCAGGAGGGCGGCGCAGCCAGATCTCCTCGTGCAGGCTACCCTGTAGGAAAGAAATGTTGAAGTCAAGAGAGTGAAGCTCGTAGTCACGCTGAGCGGCTATGTGCACCAGCACCCGAAGAGTGGTCATCTTCAGGGTGGGAGAGAAGGTCTGAAAGTAGTCAACTCCCTGTCGCTAACTGAAGCCTTGAGCCACGTAACGCGCCTTGAAGACAGGCGGAGAACCCGGCGGCTGCTTAACCCTGTAAATCCACATGCCACTGACGATGTTCGCCCCAGGTGGGGGAACCTCGTCAACGCAGGTGCCTGTGGACTTCCTGGAAGCCATCTCTGCGTCCATGGCTGTCTGCCACTGAGAGGAGTAGGGACCCTCTATCGCCTCTGCGTAAGAGCGCGGAGTCGGGATGTCTGGTGCATCCGGGTCTCCCTTAGGGGCAAGCAGCATGGACACGAGATGAGGTAAAGCAGCAGCAAAGCACTGGAACTCCTCCTGCCTGTCCTCTAGGACGTCCGTGCCAAGAGCACACTCACCCCCGACGGACGGAGGACAGACAGACTCAAACTCAGCAACAAGACTAGCAGCGTAGTCTAGACGACAGTGAGCACCGAAGTCGACAAGCTCAGCAGACGCAGCAGTAAACTCAAAGGAAGGGTCAGTGACAACAGTAGCCAGGAGACGCGTGACAGTAGGACTAGCAGCACGAAGGGAGTCAGACTCTGGGTCAGCAAGAGCAGGAAGAGAGGACTCAAAAGGAGACGGCAAAGGGACAAGCAGTGGAGCAGTGGAAGGACGCAGTGCGATCTGGTGTGTGTCTGGGACCGGAGGAGGACGCTGACGCGGAACACGATGACTAGTGTGAGCAGCTCGAACAGGCAACGCAGGACGAGACTCAGGCTCACGACGCTCAGCAAGACCTCCACTAGGACCAGTGTAGGGAGGAGGAGCAGGTAGTGCGTAGGCGAGCTGTAACTGTGACTCGGACTTGACAGGCGGTGGACACTTGAAGGAAGGCGGAGGACCCGTAGAAGGCGGGAGACCAAGAACCTGCTCAAGGAGCGGAACGAAGTTCGGCCGCGGCCGCGCAGCGCCTCCAGAACCAGCAGGGACAGCACCAGCAACACCCCCAGTAGCTCCAGCAGCGCCAACTCCAGCACCCCCAGAAGCACCAGCTCCAGCAGCACCTCTAGCGCCAACACCTCCAGTAGCTCCAGCTCCAGCAGGACCACCGGAGGACGCAGCAGCACCAGCTCCAGTAGCACCTTTAGCAGCACCCACGCCAGCAGCACCTCCAGCTCCAGCACCAGCAGCACCACCGGGCCTAGCAGCTCCAGTACCGCCGGTATGAGCACCTCCGGGACCCGTCGCACCAAAACCTCCAGCAGCCGCAGAACCTCGAGCACCACCAGCTCCAGTAGCACTTCTCCAGCGTCGAGAAAACCACTCACGCAGCTCCTGGGGAGAAGGTAGCTCCCGCCGGGACGAAGCACCCGAAGGACCTCCAGGCCCAGCACCACCAGGCTCCACACGAGCAGGCCCAGCACCCACAGGCTCCGCACCCCCTGACTCAGCAACCCTAGGCTCAGCACCGCCAGACTCAGCACCCCCAGGCTCAGCACCCGCAGACCCAGCACCCCCAGGCTCCGCACGTTCAGGCTCAGCAACCCCAGACCCGGCACTCGCAGGCTCAGCACCCCTAGCAGCACCAGAGTCAACAGCTACCTCGACAGGCTCGACTGCGTCTACCTGGGACACACCTGAGAGGGCAGGACCCTGAGGGGGAAGGGGGTCTATCGAGGGGGGACCTAGCGCGAGGAAGAGCGGCGGGGGGGGGGGGAGAGGGGCAGCACGGTAGGGGAAGAGATGGTAGTACGGGACCGACTCATCAAACGTGACGTCGTGGGAGGACAGAACACGACGCGAGGTGGGGTGGTAAAACTGCCAACCAGGCGCGTCAGGGGGGAAGCCAAGGAAGACGCAGGGAACATCACGGGAGGACAGCTTGTCCGCAGACAAGTCTCGGACGAAAGCCCGAGATCCCCAGACACGGAACGCAGACGCATCGCCAACCTTCCCCGTCCACCGCAGAGTGTGGGAGGTCTCCGGCATGGAGACCCGGGGCTGAAGGTTGATCTGACGCGCACGTCGCCCCTGCCCGAGGCGCGCTCGGTGTACCGCCCTTAGCGGCCCGTCGCGCCCTTAGCGGCCCCGTTGCCCCACCCTCTTGGCCCAGACGCCGCCCTTAGCGGCCCCGTCGCCCCACCCTCGCGGCCCCGGCGCCGCCCTTACCAGCCTCGGCGCCGCCCTTACTGGCCCCGTCGCCCTACCCTCGCGACCCCGCGGCCCCACCCTCGCGGCCCCGGCGCCGCCCCTCGCGGCCACGTCGCTGCCGTACGCGACCCCGCCGCCGCCCTTCGCGGCCCCGTCGCCCCACGTGTGCGACCCCGGCGCCGCCCTTCGCGGCCCCGTCGCCCCATCTCCGCGGCCTCGTCGCCGCCCTTCGCGACCCCGTCGCCCTACCTTCGCGGCCCCGACGCCACACCTCCGCGGCCCAATCACCGCCCTTCGTGGCCCTGCCGCCGCCCTCAACGGCCTCGTCGCCGCCCCACCCGGCCTCGCCTCTGTCCCTTCACGGCCCCGCCGCCCTTAGCGGCCACGCCGCCGCCCTTCCGCGGCCCTGCCGCCCATCGCGGCCCTGCCGCCCTTCATGGCCCCGCCGTCACCGCCGAGCAGCCGAGCCGCCGAGCCGCCGAGCCGTCGGAGACGCCAAGCTGCTGGAGCCGCCGAGCCGCCGTTTCCACCAAGCCACCGAGCCGCTGAGCCGCTGAGCCGCTGTTGCCGCCGAGCCGCCGTTGCCGCCGAGCCGCCGTTGCTGCTGAGCCGCCGAGCCGCCGTTGCTGCTGAGCCGCCGAGCCGCCACTACCGCTGTGTCCGCTGTGCCGCCGTCACTGCGGTCGCGGCCCTGCTCTCCCGGCGAGCCTCGGTCCTTCTCGCCTGCCCGGTAAGAGCAGCACCTCTGCCACTGCACTACCCTCGGCCTGCTGCTCTCACTGCTAGTCTACTGCTGTCATGGCTACCCTCAGTGTCCTCACCTTTGACGCTGAGGGCCGGGCCATTGACTTTGACGTCTGGGTAGATGAACTGCAACCTTTCCTACAGTGCGATAGGGCAGACGGTCTCTCTCTGTTTGATCTCACGTCTGGTGCCTCCCCTGCCCCTGCTGCTGATGCTGACGCCACTGTTCGCTCACAGTGGGCCACACGCGATGCTGCTGCCCGTCTTGCTGTGCGCCGCCACTTGCCGACCGCTGAGCGTGCGCACTTTAGTCAGTACAAGAGTGCTAAGACCTTGTACGACGCTGTAGTTGCACGCTACTCTTCCCCTGCCACAGCTGCCCTTAGCCGCCTCATGCTGCCGTACCTGTTCCCTGACCTCGCCGCCTTTCAGACAATCGCTGACCTCATTACGCACCTTCGAACTAGTGACACTCGCTACCGCGCTGCGCTTCCTGCTGAGTTCTGCGCCAAGAACCCCCCCCCCCCATGTACATCACCCTCTACTACATAGTCACCAGGCTCCCTGACTCCCTTCGCTCGGTCAAGGACCACTTCCTCGCTGTTTTCCCCACCACTCCCACCGTTGACCTCCTCGAGGAGCGCCTCCTGGCAGCAGAGAAGAGTATAGTTGCAGTAGGAGCCTCTCGTGGTGACCCTCGCACCCCCTTCTTTGAGGGGTGTTCCCCCTCCCCCCTCTTGCCCTTTGTTGCCTCTGCTGCTGCGGCCGACCTTGTTGGTCTTGAGTCGCTCGGTGCGGTGTCTGCCTCTAGCGGAAGACGCCGCACTGGCAACGGCAAGGGGGGCAAGGGCGCTGGAGGAGCTGGCGGGGGCGGTGGCAGCGGAGGTGGAGGTGGTGGAGGGGGTGGGGGTGGCGGTGGGAGTGGTGGCGGAGGCGGGGGCGTAAGTGGCGGCAGTGGAGGCGGAGGAGGCGGCGGCGGGGGCGGTGGGAGCGGAAGTGGTGGAAGTGGAGGCGGTGGAGGAGGTAGTGGCGGCGGCGGTGGAGCTGGTTGGGGTAGCGCTGCGCACAGGGTCGGCTCCGGTGGTGGTCAGCGCCAGCAGCAGCAGCAGCGCACTCGTGAGACCCCTCCCCCCCAGCAGCTTCGTGAGTGGAACGCTGCACGTCAGCGGGGTGGGGGTACTAGTCCGTGTACCTATGTTTTACGCACCGGCGACCGCGCGGGTGAGCAGTGCGGGGGTCCGCACTCCACCCAGCGCTGCTTTGGCCGCCTGACGGACGCTTGGCGTCAGCAGTTCCCTGACGCCACTGAGATCCCTCGCTGGGGCGAGCTGTTTAGGGTGGGGGTTCCTATCTTTGATCTTGATTATGATGCTATTGTTGCTGCCATGTATGCTGTGACTATTAGTGATGAGGGTGACTGTTACCGGTGTTTCCCTCCGGACTTCGGGCATTGGGACTGCTGCTCTAGGTACTGGTGAGGCTGCTGCTCTAGGTGCTGGTGAGGCTGCTACTCTAGGTGCTAGTGAGTCTGCTTTCGCAGGTGCTGGTGATTCTGCTCTCTCAGGTACCGCGTCGGCTCCGGCCTCCCACACCTTCACCCTTGATTCGGGGGCTTCCTGCTCCTTCTTTCGAGACCACACCACACTCACGCCGCTTAGTTTCTTCCAGTCACTGCGTTTGGTCAGGTAGCTGCGACGGATCAGGTGTTTGCTGCAGCGTCCAGGTCTGGTCCTGAATCTGCCCCCTGCTCGTGTCGTCTCTTGCCTCACCAGACTCTCCTCTGGCACCACCGCCTTGGTCACCCCTCCCTGCCTCGTCTCCGAGGCATGGTCTCACGTGTCCTTGTCTCTAGTCTCCCCCGGTACCTCCCTCCCCTTCCTCCGGGGCCTGCCCCTACCTGCGTTCCCTGCGTCGAGGGGCGGTAGCGTGCTCCTCCTCTCTCCTCCAAGTTTCCTCCGACAGAGGCCCCACTGCAGACGCTTCACATGGATGTGTGGGGCCCAGCCCGCGTCCGTGGACAGGGTCACGAGCGCTAGTTCCTACTGGTGGTTGACGACTACTCGCGTTACAGTGTTTGGCTGCTGCTTCACCTCATCTCGTGTCCGTGCTGCTTACCCCTGAGGGAGACCCGGATGCACTTGACATCCCGACTCTGCGCTCCTACGCGGAGGCGATAGAGGGTCCTTACTCCTCTTAGTGGCAGGCAGCCATGGATGCAGAGATGGCTTCCTGGAAATCCACTGGCACTTACGTCGACGATGTTCCCCCACCTGGGGCGAATATTGTCAGTGGCATGTGGATCTTAAGGGTGAAGCGGCCGCCGAGTTCTCCGCCTGTCTTCAAGGCGCATTACGTGGCTCGAGGCTTCAGTCAGCGGCAGGGAGTTTCAGACCTTCTCTCCCACCCCGAAGATGACCACTCTTTTGGTACTACTGCACATAGCCGCTCAGCGCGACTACGAGCTTCACTCTCTTAACTTCAGCACTGCTTTATTGCAGGGCAGCTTGCACGAGGAGATCTGGCTGCGCCGCCCTCCTGGCTTCTCTGGGTCGTTTCCTCCTAGTACCCAGTGGAGCCTCCGGCGGCCAGTCTACGGTCTCCGGCAGGCACCTTGTGAGTGGCAGGACACACTGAGGACTACACTTGCGGCTCTTGGGTTTGCTCCTTCTACTGCCGACCCGTCGCTGTTTCTGCACACCGACACCTCTTTGCCGCCGTTCTACATCCTCGTGTACGTTGACGACTTGGTCTTTGCCACTGCTGGCACTGCTGGACTCGCCCACGTGAAGTCCGAGCTGCAGAAGAGACACACGTGCACAGACCTGGGTGAACTGCGCAGCTACCTTGGCTTGCAGATCACCCGGGAAAGAGCACAGCGCACCATTACCCTGACTCAGTCACACATGGTGCAGCAGGTCCTTCAGCGCTTCGGCTTCACGTACTCCTCGCCTCAGGCCACTCCTCTGTCTACTCGCCACTCGCTCTCAGCTCTGCCTTCGGATGAGTCCGTAGAGTCGAGTGGCCCGTAAACAGAGCTTGTTGGCTGCCTCATGTACCTGATGACCTGTACACGTCCTGACCTTGCATACCCTCTTAGCATTCTCGTACGCTATGTTGCTCCTGGGATACACAGACCGGAGCACATGGCTGCAGCGAAGAGGGTGTTGCGCTACTTGTGCAGTACGTCGGGCATGGGGCTTGTGCTTGGAGGGTGGAGTCCAGTGGTCCTCACTGGTCACGAAGACGCTTCTTGGGCTGACGACCAGGCTACGCAGCGGTCGTCACAGGGTTACACCTTCAGCCTTGGTTCCGGCTCTCTTTCGTGGCGGTCTACCTGCTCGTCTTCTGTTCTTGGCTCCAGTTGTGAGGCTGAGATCTACGCTGGGGCCATGGCTGCACAGGAGCTTTGCTGGCTCACCTACCTGTTGACTGACCTCAGAGAGCCGCCTCGTTCTCCTCCAGTGCTGCACGTAGACAACAAGGCCATGCTGGCCTTGTGTCGGGAGCACAGACTGGAGCACAAAACGAAGCACATTGCTCTTCGCTACTTCCTTGCTCGTGATCTACAGCAGCGTGGTCAGCTGCGCCTTGCTTACGTGGCCTCTCAGGCCAACACTGCTGATATCTTCACCAAGGCACTTGCGCCTTGTGATCATCAGCGCTTCTGCACTCTGTTAGGTCTTGTGCCTACTTTGCCTCACTTGCTCACTTCTTGACCTTGCTTGTACTGTGATCTATCTATACCTGCACTTGCTTGTTGACTCTTATATATGATCTTGCATGTGAACTGGCCTTGTGGCCTTGAACTTGTGCTCGGAATATGTGGTGACGTTGTGGTCCACCCTGAGCTTGTTTTGCTTTGCTTGACTGGTCTTGTGACCCCTTGTTCTCCCCCACTTTGCCTATGGGGGTGTGTCAGATTTATATGACTTAGCTGATGTAGGCTATAGTGGGGTAGCACATATGGGGTACACATTTCTAGGGTTTGTACTTGTACCCAACTTTCCCTTAGTCATTCCATTCCTCGTTCTTATTTCGTCAGTAACGCTCGTGACCCTGTCCAAGGACGCGGGCTGGGCCCCACACGTCCATGTGAAGAGTCTGCAGCGGAGCCTCTGTCGGCGGAAACTCAGAGGAGTGAGGAGCGGCGCGCTGCCGCCCCTTGACGCAGGGAACGCAGATAGGGGCAGGCTCCGGAGGAAGGGGAAGGAGGGACCGGGGAAGACCAGAGACAAGGACACGGGAGGCCATGCCTCGGAGACGAGGCAGGGAGGGGTGACCAAGGCGGTGGGACAGGAGGCGACACGAGCAGGGGGCAGACTCAGGACCAGACCTGGACGCTGCAGCAAACACCTGACCCGACGCAGCTACCTGACCAAACGCAGTAACCGGAGGTAACTCGGTAGCCAGTGTGTATAGGCTCGACCCCGGATGATGGGTAAACGTGGCCAAGTGTCGGCCCGTCCGAGCACACGTGCAGTGGGTCACCCGCTGACTCGCAGGAGTGAACTGGTCAACCCCCCCATCTTACATGTCAGCACCACCCACCAAGTTCGTATAGAACGAGGGGAGGTAGAGACCTGACAGGGAGCCAGACGGGGCCGCTGGACAAGGTAGCACAGTGGAGTAGTGGGCAAGGATAGGACCCCTAGAGGGGTCTGCCAGGGAGACCGCAACAGGCCGACTGAGCGGCGTGAGGGTGGTGCGGTCTCGAAAGAAGGAGCGGGAAGCACCTGTGTCAAGGGTGAAGGTGTGCAAAGCCTGAGCAGACGTAGTACCTGAGAGAGCAGACTCACCAGCACCTGAAGCAGCAGACTCACTAGTACTTGGAGCAGTAGACTTGCGAGCACCTAGAGCAGCAGCCGCAATGCCCGGGCCAGGCGGAACACACAGGTAACAGTCAACCTCATCACTAGTAGACACAACATACAGGGCAGCAAGAATAGCATCATAGTCAAGATCAAAGATAGCAACCCCCGACCTAAGCAGATCAGGGCATCAGGAAACTGGAGACGCCAGGCGTCTGTCAGGCGGCCAAAGCAGCGCTGGGTGGTGTGCGGCCTGCCGCACGGCTCCCCAGTGTGGTCACTAGTACACAGGACGTAGGTACAGGGACCAGCACCCCTAGACCACTGACGCGCAGCGTACCACTCACGAAGCTGCTGGGACGGCGGGGTCTCACGAGAGCGCTGCTGTTGCTGACGCTGGCCACCACCAAATCCTCCCCGCTGCACAGAGCCACCCCGACCAGCGCCACCGCCACCGCCGCCACCACCGCCTACTCCACTCCCACCGCCACCGCCACCGCCGCCTCCGCCTCCACCGCTGCCACCAGAGCCCCCACCCCCGCCACCACTCCCACCGCCACCCCCACCCCCTCTGCCACCCCCACCGCCACCACCACCGCCCCCGCTAGCTCCTCCAGCACCCTTGCCCCCCTTGCCCTTGCTGTTGCGGTGCCTCCCGCTACGGGCAGACGCAGCGCCGACCGACTCGGTGCCAACGAGGTAGACAGCAGCAGCAGAGGCAACAGAGGGCAAAAGGGGGACGGGGGAGCACCCCTCAAAGAAAGGGGCACGAGGGTCACCACGAGAGGCTCCTACAGCGACTATGCTCTTCTCAGCTGCAAGGAGGCGCTCATTGAGGAGGTCAATGGTGAGTGTGGTGGGGCAGAGAGAGAGGAAGTGATCCCTGACCGAGCGAAGGGAGTAAGGGAGCCGGGTGACTAGGTAGTAGAGGGTGATGTATATGTAGGGGGGGGGTTCTTGGCGCAGAACTCAGCAGGAAGCGCCGCGTGGTAGCGGGTGTCACTAGTGCGGAGGTGCGTAATGAGGTCAGCGACCGTGGCAAAGGCGGCGAGGTCAGGGAACAGGTACGGCAGCATGAGGCGACTAAGGGCAGCAGTGGCAGGGGAGGAGTAGCTTGCAATTACAGCGTCGTACAAGGTCTTACCACTCTTGTACTGACTAAAGTGCGCGCGCTCAGTGGACGGCAGGTGACTACGCACAGCAAGACGGGCAGCAGCATCGCGTGTGGTCCACTGTGAGCGAACGGTACTGTCAGCATCGGCAGCAGGGGCAGCAGGGGCGCCAGACGTGAGATTGAACAGTGAGATGCCATTTTTGCTATCGCACTGCAGGAAAAGCTGCAGATCGTCGATCCAAACCTCAAAGTCTACAGCTCGACCCTCAGCATCGAAGGTAAGGACATTAGAACTAGCCATGACAGCACCAGTAGTAGGCTAGCAGCAGCAGCAGCAGGCTAGCAGTAGCAGCAGCAGTAGGGGCGCGGCTAGGCGGTGCGCTTACCAGGGGCGGGTGGGTAGAAGCCCGCGTGTGGTGTGGCACGGCCGGGGTGCGCCGGCAGGATCAGGGCCGTGACAAGGCGGCAGGGCAGGGGCCGCGGCTCGGCTGCAAGGCAGGGCCTGGACGGCGCCCACGGCTGCGACGAATGGCGGCGGCAGCTGTCACGGCAGCGGCGGTGGCGGCTGTCTTAGCAGCAGCGGCGGCGGTTGTCACGGCAGGAGCGGCGGCGGCTGTCACGGCAGCAGCGGTGGCTGTCACGGCAGGAGCGGCGGCGGCTGTCACGGCAGCAGCGGCGGATGTCACGGCAGAAGCGGCGACAGCTATCACGACAGCAGCGGTGGCGGCGAACGGTCGTGGCGGAAGCGGCAGCGGCAGCAAGGGAGACGGCAGAGGCAGCAGGGGAGGCGGCAGCGGCAGCAGGGGAGACGGCAGCAGCTGCTAGAAGTGGCGACGACGGGGCAGCAGGGCGGCTACGGCGGGCCGCGAAGAGCCGCGGAGGGGCCGCGAAGGGGCTGCGAAGGGCCGAGAGGGGGCCGCGAAGGGGCTGCGAAGGGCCGAGAGGGGGCCGCGAAGGTCCGTGAGGGGGCCGCGAAGGGCCGCGAAGGGGCCGCGAAGGGCCGAGAAGGGGGCCGCGAAGGGCCTCGAGGGGGCCGCGAAGGGCCGCAAAGGGGCCGCGAAGGGCCGAGAGGGGGCCGCGAAGGGCTGCGAAGGGTGGCCGCAAAGGGCTTTAAGAGAGGCCGTGAGGGGCCGCGAAGGGGGCCACGAAGGGGCCGCTAATGGGGCCGTGAAGGGGGGCCGCAAAGGGGCCGCTAAGGGGGGCCGCGAGGGGGCCGCTAAGGGGCCTTTAAGGAGCAGGCCACTAAGGGGCCGCGAAATTTCAGGGCAGGACTCGAAGCGCGTTTAGGGCAGGCTAAAAATATATATATATATATATCGAAGGTGGGCCCTAGGAATAAACGGTCCCACTAGGGAACCCGCTCTGGTACCATGTGAAGAATGAGGAATGAAATGACTAGGAAACATGTGGGTACAAGTAGGAAACCTAGAAGTGTTGTACCCCATAGTATCTACCCCACTACAGTCTAGATAGACTATAGCATATAAGTTTGACATCGGCAATGCCCGGATAGCCAAGCTCACGTCATCATCATTAGCCTCCCCTCAGTCGACTCAAGAGTCGCGTCGAAAAGTCGAACTCTTCTTGTTTCATCATCGCACCTCGCTTATTTTGTATTTTTTGGGAAACTATTACAAAACCGGCGCATGCAAGCGGTCTCGAAAAAACGAAGCTCCAACCGTCGTCGTTCATCGGCAATGCTCTCGTTTAGAAGCAGGAATTCCGAGTCGGCGGGTACTTCAAGCCCAGTGCCACCTCCGCCGCTTGCTCGAGCGATTTTCGCGCAGAAGGAGGTTATTTTTGGCGCTTTGGCCCTCGGAAATGCAGCGGTCACGTGGTGGCATCGACTTCTCTCGCACGCTCTCAAATCTGCACGCGAAATGACACTCACGGAAGTCAGTCGCGAGAAACAGCCTGCTGACGCCGCCAGAGGTAGCATCGGCACGAGCTGGCACGAATTGGTGGCGCTGAGAGGGTTCGTGCAGGCCGGTCAGGCAGGCGTCCTTCCATGGGATCGTCCACCCCTGCTGCTGCCAGATCATGGCGGGCAGCAGCCATGCGCCTTCATGGAGAGGAAAGAGACGGTGAGTGTGGGAGAGGCGAGGGGAAGAAAAAATGAAAAGGGGAAGATCGAGGGGACAAAATAAGTACAGTATAAGGGGAGAAAAGCATGCCTGGATCTTCCTTTCATTTTCCCGTTTCTTGAATTCCATTCTCTTGTCCTCCCTCCCTCCTCTCCCCTCGCCTCACAATCAACTCTCGTTCATTCAGTTTCTCCCTAGCCTCAACACATCAGAGCCCACGTTTCTTGGTGACCCAATTCGCATCAGAGTCGCTTTTCAAGCTGCCGCTGCCTGTGGGGCTCTTCAGCGTTTGTGCATAAAATCTTTCTCCCTTGTCCCCCACCCCATGCCGTGCGTCTCCTCCTTTCTGCCTTAGATTCTACAGCCTAACCTGCATCTGCTGTATGGTTGGGTCATGAAACCAAGTCACATGATCCACATAAAAAAATCTGTGAGTCTTAGGATCTTGGAATACGGAAAAAGTTGCCGTTCCTGCATTCTTTCTGCACACTTTCCGTTCGCATAGAGAGAAATGAAAAGTACCTATTTATTAGCCTTCTTGTTTCGTTTTCTGTAATTTAGTCCCCCTCTCTGTTTTCCTTTGCGTTCTTTCTTGCTCCTTCCTATTCCTATCTCAACCCCTCACCTCTCCTTAGACTCTCTACTCTCTAGCAGAGAACATGCACCCATCAGCGCCCCGCGTCAACATCTCACTAGAGGGTGCCACACAGCCATTGCCACTATATACTGTGTACAGCCATGTGCACAAGGCCCACCCCTCGTGGGGCGATGCCACGCTGCACGTGCTTATAGAGAAACCCCTGCTAGTGAGTATACGCGTTTGTGTCGCCTCATCTGGCAACAGCCATGGAAGTCCATATGATGAATCGCCTTGTGGTCCACCCAGCCGATGACACCTAGCATTTGCCACCAGCCTTTGCCCTTGCACACAGAGGAGAAGGTGCTGCCCATCAATCACGAAGTGACAGCTGTCGGGCATGTGAGATTTGGATCCGACGGTCGTCCCGCCATCTTCGCGTCGCCCAAATTTCATTATTTCCTGTGAGAAATTCTTCCATCCACATTTTCTTTCCTCAGCTGTTAATGCATACCCTTGCTTGGCGAAGGCCCTTGGTTACCTGCATGTACCCTTTCCTCACTCAATTCCTTGCTTTAGTGTATAGCATTCTTTCTAAAAGGCCATTATTCTCTTTGCTTCTCTTTCTCCTCCCTCGTGTTCCACCACCCTTTCCCCATGCTCTCCCTCTCTTTCATCCTCTTTCCTCCACATCCCCCTCCCTCTTGCCTGACCTCCCTCGTGACCTCCCTTGTTCACTTATTTCCTCGTTCATCCTTCTCTCATTCCCTCTCCCCCCACACCCTCTGTTGGTTGCTTTGCCTTCCCTGCACATTCCTTGACGTCAGGCATGCATTAGAACAGCAGCTGAAAAGCCAGCTGGATATGTGAACAAGGAGTTGTATGGATGAACGGGTGCATGGGTGCATGAGGAGGTGAGTGCATGATTGACTGGGTGGGTGGTCATGGGCGCATGGGGGGATGGGTGCATGGTTGCATGGGTGTATGTGAGGGTGGTCATGGGTGTATGGGTGCATGGGGGGAAGGGTGGATGGGTGAATGGATGCTTGGGTGCATCGGTGGGCGGTCATAGGTGCATGGGTGTATCGGTGGATGGGTGCATGGGTGGATGGGTGCATGGGTGGATGGGTGCATGGGTGGATAGGTCTGGAGGAGGTGGTACTTTCACTTTGCTATGCACGTTTTGGCTGCAATGCACTCGCTGCATGCATGCATTCAAGTGTGCACATGCAAATGCTAATACACATGTCTGAGTCTGTCTCTGCATGCCACCACTCAGTCTTTCGTCCAAACCTCTTTTTTTCCTAATCAACATGGTCTGCCTCTACTCCTCGCGAACATTCTCCCTTCTTCCTTCCATACCACCCACGTTTCCCCCCCCCCCCCCCCTTTTCTCAATACCAGGCGGCATCAGCGACGACCACGTGGATGGGGGTGGTTGAAAACGAGAGCGTGGGGCTTGTTGTTGTTTGGGAGGAGACGGTGGCGAATGCTGTCACGTGCCATTGAGACGAAATGGAACTTGCTCCTGGAATTTTGGGACTGACTCAAAAGGCAGCAGCGGTGGTAGCGTGGATAGAGGTGGGAGAGAGTGAGAGTATGGGGCTCGTCGTTTTTTTGAAGGAGACGGCGTCTCTGTGGCAAATCCTGTGCCTGCGGGAACCTGGCAAAGGGTTTGGAAAGCATTTCCAATCAGTGTACCACCCCCCGTCTACTGTGACCCATCAGGGTACCTTACAAGTGTTCCTAGGCCCCACACTTTCTCATCAGTGTAATACGGTTTCTCATTGTAGCACAGGGTTTAAAAATATACGCTGCATATATTGTCGGCTAGGTTGGGCTAGTCGTTAGAGGGTACAACATTTGTACTTACCAGGAACCATGTACGATACCGTCAAGCCCAGGAGGTACCCCATGGTGGGGGGGAGGGGGGGGGGGGGGGGGGGGGGTATAAAAAAACATGTAAAATTTTCAAGTTCAACTTAAAAAAATTTGAAGATTGTGATTCGACTAGAAGAAGAGTTTGTTGTAAATTGAGACGAAATGGAACTTGCTCCAGGAATTTTGGGACTAACTCAAAAGGCAGCAGCGGTGGCAGCGTGGATAGAGGTGGGAGAGAGTGAGAGCATGGGGCTCGTCGTTGTTTGGAAGGAGTCGACTTGGCGACTTGGTGGCAAATCCTATGCAATGCAGGAATTCTGTCCAATCAGTGTACCACCCCCCGTCCACCCTGACCCATCAGAAGTATTCATAGGCCCCACACTTTCCTATCAATGTAACACGGTTTCTCATTGTAGCACAGGGTGTAAAAATATATGCTGCATATATTATCGGCTAGGTTGAGCGTCGTTAGAGGGTACAACATTTGTACTTATGAACCATGCATGCCTTGCTCTTAGAGCGTATTCCTACGGCCTCATATCAGGGCAACCTCAAATCAAGCTCGCACAAAACACGTAAATCTCGGCTTGATTTGATTGTTTATTTTCTACTTCCTGGTTTGATGTGCGACAAGAACCTTCTGAACACGTCAAGCGTGATTGCCTGACGTGGCATGCAGGGCACATGACAAACATCTTGCACGATGGGTTCATCGCGCAACACTATGATGGGTTCATGGTCCTACTGTTGAATTCGAACCCGACAAAACATTGCTGCATTCGTGTCCTACACTAGATCAGCCACACGTGGTTTGCTGATGTGGCTCGCTTTAAAGGTTTCGTGCATTGATTTTTTCGCGCAATACAAGTACTAAATTCCGAATTTATAACGAATTTCTCGAGTTTTTCCAACCCTAATACGAGGTTGGCCGGGTATGAGGCCGTACGAATACGCTCTTAGTTATTCCGTTTGGTTGTCTTCTTAATATGGTATCATCGTAGGTTAGGTCTATGCTCCTTCCGCGCCAACCCTACGTACCCGTCTACCCTAGCATATTCGCCCATAGCGTGCCCTTCGAGCGCCTCGATTAGAGCGGCACGTCGCACCTAGCTCGACTGTTGACCTTAGCGTGGCCATCGCCCCTTGCGCGCCTGTTGCCCCTTGGCTACTTGTTGCGACCCTCACGGCCAGCCCGCTGGCCCATCCCGTTGTGCCCCTCCCGGCCCCGTGGCCCGTCCCATTGTGCCCCACGCAGCCCGCCCGCTCGGCCCATGGCGCTTGCC